TAAGAGATTCTTGAGAATGATTTGTTAATTAATTTGTGTAATATTCATCGGTATCACTTTCTCCAAAAATTTTAGATAATCTGAAATTTACTTTCAGTTAGCATATTATATACTTTAAGTTACAAGATTATAATGTGATTATGCATGGATGAAGGGAGCCCATTGGTCTAGTGCACTTTACCACAGTTATGAGTTGACTGCTGAATGCATTCAAATAAATTACTATGGATCAAAGAGAATGAGTGAGGCATTTCTTCCCCTTCTCCAATTGTCTAAATCTCCAAGAATAATAAATGTCAGCTCTGGTGATGCGACATTGGAGGTATTTATTTATTTATTTTTATAATTCGTGAATTTTTTTGAATACTATTGAATCTGTTACAAACTCACAATATAGTATTTGTCTATACGTATTTTCTCAATCTACTAAAACACAAAGAGCAATGTCTCCACTAAAGTTCGAACATGTGACCTCCCATTTGAGAGAGTCACATTTATGTCGTTCGACCATAATATTTTTAAAATATTTCATGACTTATTAACAAAATGTGACACATTTTTATTAATTGAAAATGAAATTAAGTCAATCTCGAACCCTATAGGCTATAACCAATTAAAAAAAAATAATAATAATAATAATAATAATAATAATAATAATTACAGTAGACCACAAAAAAAAAAAAAATGGCATTATCGAGGTCGATCCTACTCATGTACTAGTAGGTATATTGTGGACAATGATCTATCTTGCAAAATGGATCCTGATCTAAAAATTTTACTTTAAATTTTTTTGTTTGTACAAATAAAATTAGTACATAAAATTAAATCATTTAGAAGCTCTAATTGAGATATTTTAACTGACACTTTTATTTATTTATTTTTTCAAATTTTTTTTAAAATAAATCTACAAGTAAATAAAGTCAGTCATTACTTTACTTACATAAATTTAGTTTAATAAAGTCACTCTTGTAAATACATAAATTCACAATTGTAAGTATATAAATTCACTAATATGGGTATATATAAATTACTACTATAAGTACATAAAGTGTTACTTTTGTAAGTACATAAATACATTGTAGTTAGTGTCACTACAGTAAATTATGAAATTTATGACCACCTGAAAGTGATCTTAAATCAAGTTGAAACTAAAAAGTGGTCGAAAATAGCGACAAAGGTTTTTTCAGATACCAAAAGTGGTCAGAACAAGACTTTTGACTTAATTTAAGATCACTTTCAGGTGGTCGAAAATTTTAATAATTTTCAGTGGTGTGTTATTTTTACATATCTACAGTATCATATTTATGTATCTAAATTTTTGTGTACCTATAGAATTATGGTCCACCATGCAAGGTGGAAGTGGACCTTGAACAATAACAAAATTTTGGAAGGAGTTGACATCAAATATTTAGTGAATGATTTTGTATCTAAATATGTACAAAAGCATCAGTTTTTAAATAAAACTTTGAATTGTATTTTTTTCTCTATGGTATATTTTATATATTATATTTCGGAAAAAAAATAATAATAATATTTTTTTATTTTATATTTGTATATATACTAAATTCAATTATTAAATATACCCTTATTTTTATGGAACAACCCTCCTGAACATTATAGTAGAAAGTCGATACGGGAAAATTATATTATGGACCATGGTCCACATTGTAAGTTAATTAAATCACTAAAAAATATTTATTTTGTAGTATATTGAATGTTCATTTTTAATGTGCTGAAGATTCATTTGTTTGGTAATATACCAAAAACGAACTTATAATATATTAAAAATAAACTGTCAAAAATTGAACCTATTGTATACTAAAAATAAACATTCAGTATGCTAAAAATAAACATTTATGTCACTAGTTGACCTTATAATGGATCATGGTCCACAAATAACAATATACTTGGACTAAAAGTGCTATTAACTCAACACTTAAATTTTTACCTATAACATAAAAAGAATTGTCACAAATCACATTACTTTGTGCTCAAATGACACATATGTGTCTCTCCACCTAATTTCAAATGTCACAAAATTCCCTTGTTTGGTTGAAAGGAATTGCAATTCACCCATTTTCATGGAATTAAAATCTCATGTCCCCTCCCTGAGATTTTAATTCCTGGGATTTTAGGATGAAAAAAAAGATAGTGATGAGTAAAAATTATCTATTCCTTTTTAACATAAAATTAATTCCTTACAACAACAGTGCACATTTTTGACTTTATACTACTTATTCCCTTTCAATTCCCATGTATACCAAACATTGGAATTGAAATTCCCAGTAATTCTATTCCTATAAACCAAACACTGGAATTTAAATTCCTACTTTATTCCCAGTAATTCATCTCCCATGAAATTGCAATTTCTTTCCCACGTAATTCCCCCTCTCCAACCAAACACCCTGTTAGAAAATGTCAGAGAATTGAATCCGATGATAGGGTATTGACTCTTTAAACTTTTCAGGGGAACATCTATTTTAGTTGTTGACCAATTAACTTGGGATATTTGTTTTATATTTTAGAAAATACATGATGAGTGGGCCAAAGGAATATTAAACAATGTTGAAAGCCCACCAGAAAAGCTTGATGAAGTGGTGAATAAGTACTTGGAAGACTACAAAAATGGTCGCTTACAACATATTGGAAGGTTTCCAATCCCGTCGGCCTACACTGTTTCCAAAGCAACCATGAATGCTTATGCAAGAACCATAGCACACAAATATCCTTCTTTGCAGGTCAACTGCGTCAACCCTGGCTATGTTAAGACAGACCTAACCTATAACAGCGGTCAGATTACGGCGGAAGAAGGAGCTCAGAGTGTTGTGAGGGTGGCTCTACAGCCTGAAGATGGACCTTCTGGCGTCTTCTTTGATCGTCAAGAAATTAGATCATTTTAATATATAAGAGTTAATTCCAATTATGTTCAATTCTCTCGCTTATTATATTGTGTTTTCTATTTTGATTTTCATGTTTGAAATATTTAAATTTTTTCTTTGTTGTAATATGTGGTCTCTAAAAACCTAATAAGACCGAGAGAATTGAGATTGGTAACAATAATTTATGCTTGTATTCCTATATTTATGAGATTACTAGCAATTATTTGTGCACCTCACAAAAATAGTTGTCTAATTTAGGTGTCCAATGTTAAAATAAATTAAATAAACAATTGGAATATTTATAGTATTTAATTTAACTATATTTGTATATATATACAAAAAATAACACTTATCGATCGATACGTATATATGTGTATCACAAAAATTTAATTGAGATTTTCTCATAAATCTTGATCTAGGATACTTTGGACAATGAATGACAATCTGTTAGAGAGAGAAATTGATAAGATATTTTGAACTTTGGTTTAATGTGTGGCCTTGAGATCCAAGATCCCATTCCCCTTTTCCTTTGTCTCATTCAATTCCCACTTTTAACAGACTTCAACTCTGAATAGATTTAGGCATATTTAAATCTTGGTAAAAATTTGTCTGAGACTGTCCCACCGTAAGATGAGTTGGGTCAAGATGATAATATAATACTTATACATACAAATGTTATACTTATATGTTCAAATGTAATACTGATCAAAAATAAAATTTTTGTTACTTAGGGGTAATGTAATACTTTTAAGGGAAAATGCAATACTTTTATATTTTGATTTAAAAGTATTACAAAAAGTATTAGTAAGAGACACTTGCCAACATTACTTATTATGAAAAATGTAATACTTTTGATGAAAAATATAATATTTTTACATCAAAAATGCAAAAGTGTTACATTATTTACATAAAAAAATGCAAAAGTGTTACATTTTCCCTTATAAGTAACCAAAATTTTATTTCTGATTAGTATTACATTTGAGCATATAAGTATGACATTTGCATGTTAATTTGACCTGACCCGACTTACGAATAAAAACCCGTGAGACGGTCTTACACAAGTATGGCCATTAAATCTTAAGTAGATTCCAAGGCAAATTAGAATGTGGACCACAAATAAATGGCCCATTTAGTATACTAAAGGTTCATCATTTTTAATGTATTAATATTTTAGTTTTAGATAATATACCAAATAATGAACCTTACTGAAAATAAACTTTTAAATTAAATATGGATATTCAATGTTTTAAGATAAACTTTCAATATACTAAAAATGAATCTTATGTTAATAGTTCACCTTACAAGGTGAACCATAGTCAGTGGTATAATGATTAAGATTTCAATGCTTGAGGGTGAGCCAACCTCTTTGGCTCACCTCGATGGCCTCTCTCAAACAATTGTACTAAGGATGTATGATAAATGTTGTTTTTGTTCAGTTGTATCACTCTTGAGGCACCAGAAGACCAAGTTGAGCCACTCATGTAGGGGGGAAACTTGGATCTGGACTAAAGTTTATAATATGTTAATTGTATGCTCATAATCTGAACTAAAGTCTACAATGCACATAAGTAGACCCTAGTCCATGATATAATTTACACCAAAGCATGCATACAATATAGTGGTGGAACAGACAGAAGGCCAGGAAGGATAACACTTGAAATATAACTATCATCTCATAAATAGGCTTATATTTTAACTCTTCTATTCAATCACTAAAACTGTTATGAAAAGCAAATTTCCAGCTTAATTAAAGTTTTTGGGGTTTCCATGCATCCTAAGGTTGAGCAGAGGGCAAGCATAACAACAGTAGATGACAGATTAACTGAAACTCATTTCATCGTGTCATGGTCAGCCTCCCACAAAGCTAATAGCCTTTAAGATCAACCTCTACATCCTGCCAACAAGTAGCAAATTAGAGTAATTCAATGCACAACAGTTGAAAAGAAAAGGGGAAATTGCATTGTAATTACAGCTTTTGCATGATTTGGTCAAAAATGCCCCCCTTATTTCCTATTTTTTGGCAACAAGGCATTAAAGCAACAGGTATTGGAGAAGCTCCCTATAAATATATGTCTAACCGTTATTGATAATAAATAATAGCAACAGATCGAACGTGGTTACCTTCATTATAACTCCTCCTTGACAGAAGATTGTTCAGTATATTTATCCCGATTCTTCTGAATAAAACTAATGAAGCTATCCTTAGTCCTATCACCTTCATACCGCAGCACTTTTCCACTAGCTGAGATGAAATAAAGAGTTGGGTAACCCTTGACATCGAAAGTTTCACGCGGTATATCATTTGCAGTAGCATCCTACAAAGCAGAAGAATATTAACAGATCTGAATTCTTAGAATCTATTAATCTAAAGGAAACATTGGTATGCATTCAGAAATTCTAAACAAGTTTATAGTCTCCAGAGGAAAGAGGGGGCTATTTATGTTGAGAAGTCCAACTGTAGTCAGAGCTGCGCTTCATAAAACTATAAAAGGAAGCATAAAATAACAACATAAAGAAAGAGCAGAATAAAAAGAAAAAGAAATCAATTACTGTTTTTGGCAAAAAGTAAAACACTTTAGCCAAAGGAAATTGAAATAAATAATTTAGTTATCATATACCTAACAGGCTAACCCTAGTATAGCATCAAACTACTTAAGTTAATAAGTGGCATAATAGTCAGACATGAGTGACTAGACGAAATAAAAAAGAAATAGGTACTCATTACTGAATCCAAAACAAATAAATTTCAGGAGGGACTCACTATCTTAGCAATGGTAACATCAGAATCATTTTCAAATGAAACAGCAATTTCATCCAAAATTGGAGCCAACTTCTTGCAGTGCCCACACCAGGGTGCATAAAACTCTAATAAAACTGAAAATTTTTCAAAATGTTGATACGTTAGTCAAAATACAAGTCCGCCAATAGAACATGAAATGTGTGAAAAAATAGGAAAGAAAATATTTATTTTAAAAAATAAATAAATAAAAAGATATCCAATCACCTTACAGCTATCATACACATGATACCAGAAAGTTTTCGAACAGGATAGCATGATAAGATCACATCTAAAGTATTTGGATACATACCAACCTAAGAGATGAATGGAAATAATAACAAATAAATTTACAAGTTTCAACTAACTATTACAATGCTGATACATCCACAGTTTATCACACCATATAATGACTATCACCGCAACACTTCTTAAATCAAAATTTCTTTTCATTTTTAAAACCATATATATTAAACAAAGCCAAGCAATAGATCCAATTCACACCTTTAATTTCGAATTTCATTTGTTTTATGTTTATTTAAAGAGACAACCACTCCAGATATGTAATTCACTAATGGTTGAAAGATGAAAATGAAAGTAAATTAGACAGACCATTCTTCCGGGAGTTGAATACCATATCTTGGAGGCTGTCAGCAACAACCACCTTAACAGGTTCATTGTTAACCACAGGGACTGGTTCCGACTTCCTGTAAGGTTGTAAACTACCATCCTGCAAAATGATTAACAAACTGTGCATTGCTTCCTGTTCAACTTTAAATAACACCTTTTGAGGCCTTATTCGAATGAATTTGATATAAGAAGGCAAAATAGGATATTTGTTTAGAGAGAAAAACAATGCCTTTCAATGGGAAAAAAAGATGGAAAATAGTGATCAAAAGTTTAAAAAAAAAAAAATCCTCATTATGCTTCTAATAAAATAAAATAACGATTTGCAAATGTTGGGGGTCCTTGGGAAAACCATTAGTTTAAAAGAAACAGGAAAAAACTGATATCATTACCTCGAACTGCTTTACCCAGGGCGCAATGTGGTCAGGCTCCAAATTTGGCTTGAGATATTTCCGTCCATCATTGGTCTGTATGACAACTAGTGGCACCTGGTCATCTTTAAGCCCAAAGAACTGTTCATTGAAACACAAGACATTATATCAGTCAAGGAAGTTAAATGAGTGAATTTTAGAAGCAAAATTTGGTATACTAACCTGGAAGGCACCTTGACTTGCTTCTACATCACCTATTAAAAAACTAATTCCTTTTCCTTTGTACTGCTCTGCTACCTCATGATATTTTGATTTGAAAGTGTCAATTAGCTCACTACTAAAGTTTAGGAACAGCATAGCCTGCCAATTCAGTAATCTTATAAATAAACTAATGCCAGATGTAAAAGAAGAGGTAGGGAAGTGAACAAAACACGCATTCTTCAAACAATTTAGAATAAAGAGAACACACACACACACACACACACACACACACACAAAGATAACAGGTGCAATCTCCAATGAGCAAAAAAAATGAAGTAAGATTTATCAGGAAGCTATGCAAAAGGAGAATGGAAAGGATATAAGAAATGAGATGATCCTGGACCAGCCTGTCTTTTATAGTGAAATTGGCACATTCTTCAAAGAAAAATTTCACATATGAAACTCTTGTTAATAACACAGTTAAACCACACACTAGTAAATGCGATAAATTGTTTGTTATAGCTCAAAAGTTGACACATAAAAGGTACCAGTTTGAAATGCAAGTATGGAGAGCACATGAACCTTGGAATTGGGACTGTTGAAGAACTTGATAACAAATGGATGGTTGGTTGGGTCTTTGTTAAAGAGAGTTACAGTGGGAATACTTGATTCTTCAATGAGCTTCACTAGGCCATCTACATCAAACACCTGAAACAAACACACATATCTAGATTAAACATTAAGGTAATGTATCCAATATAATTAAATATAGTCAAAACCACGTATGCTACCTTAAAGTCTACAAAAAGCTCATCAAACGGCTTGAATAGCCTGATAACAGGGCCAGTTACAGATGTGTCACCATGGGGAAGGTATTCAGCATTGTGGGTGTGACCAAACTCATAGTCAGATCGCAATCTCTCAGCAAGTGTTGTGAAATTCTCAAATTGTTCTCCAGAGAACTCTGGAAATACCCCAACCTACAGGATAGTTAAACCTTGTTCATTACCCTACAAATTCTTCAAGGATTATACAAACAGTACTAAACAAAAACATGCTATATAGCACCAAAAAAAAAAAAAAGAAAAAAGAGGCCTTTGTAAAAGAGAGGGAGGGAATAAAATACTCACAATAACAACTTTTTTACCATCAATTAGAGCCGCAGCATCATCAGCTGATTTTATTTCAACAGATGCAGGGCCACTTTGTTTCTTCAAATAAGTAACAATGCCATCAGCCTCGCGGGGTCCTTTGTATTCCTGAACAACGCTTCCACCATATCTAAAGATCTTAATTGTAGGGAAACCTTTGATCTCATATTCTTTAGCAAGAGGCTTGTTTTTCTCCTCATTTGCGTCAACTTTGGCCAAGATGACAGGTGGGTCATTTTCATTCAAAATCTTTGCTGCTTTCTCATACTGGGGAGTAATATAAAATTTTCATGTTACTCAGACAATATGTGTAGAAGATATAGGATATGTAGGAGTGGCTTTACCTCTGGAGCAAGTTTCTTGCAATGGCCACACCTGTTTAATATTCAAAAAAAAAAAAAAAAAAAAAAAAAAAAAAACAGGAATTAACAAATTCACCCAAAAAATAAATAAATAAATAAATAAATAATCCCAGGTGGACATTCTATGTAGCAATTGACAAGCATTTTATCAGAAAAGGAAGCACTACGTATATACAATTCCAAAATAAGAAAAAAAAATAATAAACATAGGTATTGACGTATTGTACGTGTGGTGAACCACATCAACCATCCAAATTACAACCGCAGAGCTAATTCAACATAAACTGGGACAAAAATACACAAAAGAATTCCAAAGAAATAAAACATGTCCAACAGATTAAAAAAAATGTATCCATTTCTAGCAATCTCTCAAGAGCTAGTTCAATGAGGGAAAGGTCCGTGATTTGTTTTCTGCATTTCATTTAATGGAGAAATGGAAAATGCACATTTGAACAGTTCATATTCAGAATTCAGAATTTAGATCAAATCAAACCAAAACAGTGTTGCAAAAAGTGAAGGGAAATACCAAGGTGCGTAGAACTCGACTACGATGAACTTGTGTTTGGAGATGAAATCGGAGAAATTTGAGCGCTCCAGAGTGACAACATACTCCTTCTCCGAAGATGAACTCTCATTACTGCTGCTAGTTGTACAAGATATGGATCCGAACAAAGCAAAAGCGATCACCGCCGCCATTATTAAGCTGCGGCATTTCCAAACCCTAGCACTAATCGTCGTCACCATTGCTGAATATGCGCAAGCTGTTTATGCAATCTGAAAAATATCTTTTCCTTCCATTTCTCTCTAGCAGTCTCTATATATACTCCGCAATGTAGCAGGCAATAGGATTCTATGAGCGGAGGATACTCCCCCACCTAAAATTACGACAACACCCTCATCAAATAAGGTAAATACATATTTGGTAATATACTTAGCTTATCAATTTTGATTTGTTTAACCACTGTTACTATTTGACTTAGTTAAACAATCAATAAGAATATTTGATTAATCGACTTTTTGTAATAGTTTATTATTCCAAAATGCTAAAATTCAAAAAATTACTCAAAGTAGTTTTTTTGTGGTGTTTATACTGACGAAAGCAATGAGTATTATCATTACTATACAAGATCTTCAGGCCAGCTGTCTCATCCAAAAGAGGTGTCTAAAGTTCAACGAGAGAATTAGTAACTGTGTATGACGATGAAAATTCTAAGTACATCAAAAAAAAAAATTACTATACAAGATTTAAATCCAATAATAAGACAACAATAGAATATAAATAAATATGATAATAGAGATTAAATTTAATAGTAGAGTGCAAAAGTTTTCAACTAAACGTCACCAAACAAAAATGTCACTTTTAATTTTTATATTATTATTATAGAATAATAATAATAATAGTAAATTCAATCTTAATATAAGGGTTACCACTTTTTTGTTTCCAAGTTATCAACAAAATGGCATTTCAGTTCTTTCATTAAGGAACTATTAAAATATGCTCAACATGTTAGCTATGGTAGTTTTAACCGGGGAAGCTGAAGCACTTGGTGTTCAGGAAGCTTTCTCAACATTGATGGTGTTCAAGTGGAAATGGAACGTCTCCAGATATTGAATGGTATCCAAAGTCAATCTTTGATGTCATTGTTTGATATAATAATTACTGATGTTAGAGAATTAGCTACAGTATTTTCTAATTTCTGCTTTTTGTTTGTCAAACGATATGCGAACAGAATTGCCTACGTGTTAGCTGTTAGGTAGAGAGGCATTGTATAAGTCAGATTGTATGGACTGTCTTTCGATCCCTTTCTCTTCTATTGTTCATGTTCTGGATTGGACTTAAGTTAATTTAATGCAGTTAATATATATATATATATATATATATATATATATATATATATATATATATATATATATATATATATATATATATGCTACTTTGTAATAAATTAACCCATTGAGACAAGGTATAAACCCTTTTAACATGTTACAATTATTGTGTCTACACATTTACACTATCATGTTACACTATATTTATATATTAATGACACAATTACTATTCAAATATTTTTATTTGAAATAATATTAACAACAACAATAATAATAACCATAATAATTATTAATTATTAATATTAATTTAATATCATTATATGCTTTATGTGATTTATAATGAATTTTATTGTAACATCATATAAATAGATAAATGGTATAAATATTAAAAAAGGTTAACAGGTTAACAAAGTATCACTCGTTAGTTTATTGTGTCATGTTTACCCATTATAAATTCGTGTTTGTGTTGTTGTGTATGCATTCTTGACCCGTTAAGCTTAATGAATCATGTAACACGTGTTAATACCCTATATTCACACGACAGGAAAACAAACGCAAAACATGAATTTACACATGAATCACCATGCTAAGTGAAAAATACCAGTCTCCCACAACTGTTCAATTTTCAATACATCCAAATTGTAAAAATAAACACTCAAGAGTCACTATTCACTAAAAATACTCCATATTTACCAATGCTAGAGTAGCTTTTCCCACTAAAATGTAATGATATTCTTCCGACGATGATACAAATTTGGTAACACTTAACTGAAGAGACTATATTACTATAATATGGTTAAGGAATACATGATCTTCGGCAGCTACTAAATTTCAGAATAGATTTTTTTTCCCTCATTGTGTAAATATTTTTCCAGGGAAAAATTACCAAGTAAAAGATAAAGGGTTAGTGAAAAAGCATAATTAGGGTTAAGTATCAAGCCACAATGCCAGATAAACAAAAATCATTTATATTTTCCACAAAACGTTACTTACCTTTTCCAAAACCCAATTACTTGGTAAAATATGAAGGGTTAGTGTACAATGACACTATACAGTATTTAAAGGTCGCATGTTGGGATTATTAGTTTCCAATCAAAGATGTTAAAAGTGCCAAAACACCAATTACAATCATGATATTGAGAAAATAGTTTGTTGGAAGAGGCTTATCTGGGCTTCCCCCAAGACCTTCATATTCTGCACGAATCTTTTGCTTCATGGCATCTGACAGCTCCCTCTGCAATTCAATTCAAATACAGAACATTTATTGAATTTACTTCTCTCCCCCATAAAGACTTCAGAGTTTTTAGATTTGGGTACAAAAGATTTGGTAATAGCTTCATCTTGTGTAATCAAAAGAAAAGATAACTTGTATTTTAATCCTGCAGCAACCATAAAAAAGGTAAATGATTTAAATGCTAATATATTTTGTTAACCAGGGTATAACAGGCAATAGTGGATGTTATGCTGAAAAGAGAGTCTATGAAACTACTCATATAAAGTACCTTTCCAGTTGAGTATTTTGCTGCTACAAATTTCTCTGGTTGAGCTTCTGTGGGATTACTATCAATTGAAAAACCCTGACAAGGAAAATCCCATATTTGTAAGAATATTTACCATACTAAAATTGATAAGATTTGTAGTAATGGAATGAAATCAAACTTCCGCATAAGGTTGGAAATGTTGGATAAACAGCTTAAATAAACACTTTTATGATGATCAGTTTAAAATTAGCTCCTTGAAATAAGCTCAAAACAGTTCAAATGGGTTTTGCCTTTCAACTTTCTGATAAGCAACTTCAAATAGCGTTTGGAAGTAACTCAAAAGTCAAAACAGCTTTGAAAAACAAACCCATTCAAATAGCTTTTGGATAAACCATTCAGGGATTGATGGACCAGTTCCAGGGCCAATCATGGCGTTGACCAATCCTAGTGGCTAGTGGGGTGTGAGAAATGAAGGAATTGAAACATAGGCCAAAATCACAATTTAATTAAGAAACTAACCCAAATAATTAAAAAAGGCTTCTAATATGTAGTAAGGTTTTCAACTAAGGTTATGAGTTGGTGTGTGCAGTAGATAGAGGAAAAAAACTCCAGAACCATCCAATTATAAATCAGGAAGAAAACAAAATGCTGCAATTCATTTATACTATTAGATTAGGATGAGTTTGTCAAAACATTCATTATAGATTGAACAGTGAGAATTGTTGTCTATCAAAATAGTTCTAACATTGGAATTAAAAATAAATAAATAAATAAATAAATAAGAAAGAAAATAAATGAGCTAAACAAACCTCAGGAGGATCAAATTTTGCTCCAAGATTGCTGAGTTTGGCATGGGCTTCTGCATAATCTTTAAAAAATGCATCTTGGTCTTCAGCATATTTCTCAGCATATTCCTGTAAATTTTTAATTACAAGTTAAAAAAAGTACATAATTTCCATCATGTAGGATAAGAAAAAATAAATAAATCACAGACTAGTTGCAATCTACTCTATTTCACCTTAAAGGATTGATCTTCAAAAAGAACAGCATCTGTGGGCAAAACTAGGAGGTCTTCATCCCTTTTTGCTTTTATATCCTACATTTATAAAATAAGTCTTAACAACAGATCAGATCTTTAATCCTTCTTTTCTTTGTAAAATGGATTGTTACTGAACCTTAAAGTAAGAGTTGTCAAACTTCAGCCACTTCACAGTCCATGATTGACCTCCAGGGGCACCTGGCCCATCTTTCTATCATGATAAAAAAAAACAAAAACAAAAACAAAAAAAAAAAAAACAAAAAAACAAAAAAAACACAAAAAAAACACACACAAAAAAAAAAAAAAAAAAAAACCAGAATATTAGACAGTGATAATTTTGTTAGTGAATGTCATGACTGCAACAATAAAACTAGACTACAGAAATACTAAGTGCACCGCAGACATTTTGGTGATGCATTTAGCACTTTACTATAATGGGTTCTTTTCTGTCTTTACTAAAATGATCAGGCAATCATCATCAAACATTATTGCCATAGAGAATTAAGACATTCATACAGTGTATTTTGTTTCTGGCTTTCCCCAGCCACTGCGCTCTGGCCTAGAACGTCCCAATGTGTGTGCACCAGAAAGTGCAACAATTTCCTGAAAAGCAATAAAACTTACCAGTATGAAACATAATGGACCATATGCATCAAATTGCAAGCCTAACCCAATATGATATCTATCTGACCAGTGATAATGAATCTCACCTTATCATTCAGTCCCATTCTGTAGAAGACATCACGTAAATGACCAGCAGGGGAAGGAGGACCAGCATCTAAGCAATGAAGATAAGTAAGTTGCAAAAGCACTATAATTGCAAAAAAAAAAAAAAAAAAAATACATATAGCTACATGAAAACAAGAAGGTTAGGCTTTGGAAATAGAAGGTTCAGACTAGATTTATTAAAAAAAAAAAAAAAAAAAAAGATAATGGACAATCTAGAATGTAAAATAAAGTGCAATAGGAAATTTCTAAAGAATGGAGACATGTAGATAACGAATTGCATGTGAATGCAAACACTAACTACTCACCCTACAGCCATACAATTAACTGAAATAGAGAAATGAAGCTTCTTAAAACCATTGCATTGACATCAAAATAGTCTTCAAACTATAAATGTCAAATTAAACATGAAAAAAACACTGGAACAAGCATACTTTAACAAACTAAACTAGATATTATTGCATAATGCTGATTGCATTATTTGCATGCATATATTTTATTTCTACATATATGTAGATTAAATGTTTGATGACTTGATGCATAAATATCCCTGGAAAGTTCATTCAGTTGCAAAGTACACCCCGGAGTGTCAATGGACATGAAACTTGCATGAAGGTGTCTGAAGTTTTACACAACTACCCAGGCATTCAAAGTGATACTCTATAAACTTGCATGAAGATGTCTGAAGTTTTATATAACTCCTACACCAAAGTGAGACTAGAGCTTGGTGATAAAGACTCTCTCCATTTACTCCATTCTCTGAAATCATAATGTTTTGTTTCTATTTACTATGCTGCATTGGCTTATAACCAGAACAAAATTCACAATTTTGTATTCGTATTCATTTGAATTTAACATTTATGTGTAACAATGTCATGGTAGTCTTGCTTCTGCACTGTAAAAGCTCAGAGTATTGTACAATAAACAAGAAAAAAATTTAAATTATCTCACCAGGAAGCCTCCCTTCTTCTGGGCATTGATCAGGTGCAGAGACATCCTCTCTTCCATATTTCATTGGAATTTTGGGGCCCCCAGCCTCCTATACTTCTTAAAAAAAACCAAGTGAATACATTATACATTTACATTTTCTAAACTAGAACCAAAATGGATAAACCACCTCAATAGCAGTAGCACTAGCCAACTGAAACAAATCTGCATAAGTCACACCAGAATATTTGTCCTTGATTGGCTGTAGAAGTTTAAGTGCATTTACCAGACCTGAAGTGACAGTTTGTTAAGGCAACATAATAAGTTGAGCAAAAATAGAAATCCTGAAATCAAGACTAACCAGCATTTGCTCCATGTTTCAGTTCAACCTCAAATCTTAAACTTCCATTAGCTCCCCCTCTTATTGGCCATTCCTCAATATTTTTGTTATAAGTACCAGCATCATGCCAACCCAAGCGCACCTGTATTTATTGAGAAGTACAAGACAATTAATGTGCTATAATCTAGCTCCACATCACAGCAGAGTTACATTCCATTGTTTACCAAACTCAGCTCATGAGTGTTTGAGTATGCACACATGCATACACATGTATGTATGTATGTCTGTGTGTGTATGCATGCATGTTCCCCTTTTATTATTGGCATATTTTCTGTTCACGCTTCTTTTTTGGTGAAGTGAACCTTTGCGAGACGCAAAGTGGTATTGAGTGGGGGATTGATTGGTGTCATTGTAGCATAAGTATTTTCTTTCCCTAAATTCTTTTGGGAGGTGTAAGCACAAACTCATCTTTCTTTGACAATTCAGATAAATAAAGAAAAAGTTTTTTCAATTAAAAAACAATAATGGGACAACACCACAAAAGAGCAAGTAAAAGGAAGGTATCCTAATTCATCTAACTACTTCCCAAAATAAGTGTAATTAACAGGAATCTCAGGGAGTCCTATAGCAGCAAACAATCATGTAACCACTACTTCATTTAGTCCTAAACCCTATATATAGGGGCGCGCTCAAGGGAGAACGGTCGCCCAGGAGAGAAATAAGAACCACTCACAGTCGTCCACGTGTCCAGATCAACGACTTAGATGTAATTTTAAAAAAACCACGCAATGGCATTTTCACAAATAACTCAAACTTTGGTGCAAATAAATATGTTATAAGTGCAAGTAGCTGGTGCACCTTTGCAAGTAAAAAGTGCAAGTAGCTAGTGCACCTTTGCAAGTAAAAAGTGCAAGTAGCTGGTGCACCTTTGCAAGTAAAAAGTGCAAGTAATTTACCTTGTTAACATTCGTGCAACTAGTTATAACGTTAGGTGCAACTAGTATTGATGCTCAATGTACATATTACTTGCACCTGTAATACATTTTACTTGCAGTTGTAATACATTTTACTTGGACTTATGTGCACTATATGAAACTGCTACTTGCACTTATAATACATTTTACTTGCACTTGTAATACATTTTACTTGCACTTCGATATTCAAGTATTTACGAAAATGCCACCGCATTTTTTAAAAAAAATCAGTGTTTCTCATCCGTTAGATCTGAACACATGAACGGATGTCATGCGTTCTGAGTTCTCTCCTGGGCACACCGTTCTCACCTGAACGCGATCCAATATATATATATAGGCGCCTAGCGCCTTCTACAACATTGCTTACTCCAGGGATATCTAATGTCTTCAAAGGATTATTATAAAATAGTATGCTCTAGCTATCTAATCTATTGTGTAAATATTATTGTGAGCAAGGTAGACTATATAAAAATTTGATGCAATTCTTCAAACACTTGATTCCATGCACAAGTATGAAATCAGGAACTTATTGAGCACAAATTTCAAATTAAAAACCAAGGCAAAATGCTTTTTATTTTCTCAAATAAGAAAGCAGTTCAAACACTCACTGAAGCAGGATTCTAGAATTTGCATTAAGAGATTTTGTTTGTTTCTGGGCATATAACTAGTCTAGAAGGGATGTGCAAACATTAGGTGTGTGTTTGATCATTATATAGAAGTTAATGTGCAATATTTTCAATAGCTACCGCAGTAGATAAACTTCAAAACAATTTGGCTTTTAACTAACAATAAATAAAAGATAAAAATAATGATGCAATACTTTCAAATTTCAATAGCAGCCACCGTAGAAATAAGTCGATCACAATTTGTGTGTGTATCATCATTACAACAAGACTTCCACATTATTAGCTAGATTACTATTAACTATTCAAAGATTTTTACCATAGCCGGCACAGCAGAAATAAATCGGTAACAATAAATATATAAACACTCAATATAATAGTTAGGATCACTAAATTATTAGGGAGATAAATAACAGACATATTCAAGGATTTTTACCAAAATAGGATGGCAAAATGTAGTCTTAAGTAGCTCTTTGATGTCTTCTTTCGCACTCCTCAGTTGATCGGGATTCGAAGCGAAGCATTTCGGCGACACCACTGAGCTAAAGCTTCGGCTCAACAGAGGAACCGCCGCTCTCTTCTGGAAAGAAGTCCAGATTCGATATCAGAAAGTAGATTTACATCATACGTTAAGGTTATAAAAACATAAAAATAAATAAAAAGAGTTTAAGATACCTGAGAGAGGGAGACCGTAGAGAGAAAAAGTGAGGATCGGAAGCATTTTAGCGATAAAGAAGCGGTGGTTGGAGTGGCGACTGCGATAGAGGACGGGAGGAGGCGAGAAGTGGCGGCGGTGAGAGAGGCCATGGAAGCAGTTGCCATTGCTGACGTGAGAAGGACGCGCTCGGCCATTGGGTGCACAACTGCAGACTGCGGGCTCCTTGCGTTTTGGATAGTGAGGGAGTGTGGCCTTTAGTTAATGTCTTAAATAATGAGCCAAAGCGCTAATGCCAGTTGCCCCATCCAGCCATCGAAGGGAAGCTCAAACGACTTTTTCAGGCTAAATTACAATTCCAACCTTCTAGTGTTAAAACTGGTTGGGGTTGTTGAGGTGTACAACAGTCGTTATATCGTGGATCGCGGTGCAAGTGCACCGCGGTCAAAACGACGCGCCGTTAATATTAACGGAGCGTAATTTTTTGTAAGTTAATTACCAACTGAAATTACACTGTATCTAAACTGACACTGCCTCACGTATTATTTTTATATTATCAAATGAAACTGCAGATATATCAAAATGATACTGTAGTTGTGGTGAAATGAAATCGCAGTGTATATAAAATGAAACTGAATAACATTTCACATATTTGAGTGTATATTGTGCAATGAAGCTGTAGTTATATCGAAATGATCATGTAGTTGTGTTTTAATGAAAATATAGTGTATATAAAATAAAATTAAATAACATTTTCACATATTTTAGTGTATAAATATCGAATGAAACTGTAGTTACGTCGAAATGAAACTGCAGTTATGTTGAACTGAAACTGCAGTGTATACAAAATGAAACTGAATAACATGGTTACTTTTTGCGGAACAGCAGGGAACGGCGCGAAACAAACACCGTTTCTTTTCATTAAACAAAACGACGTCGTTTTGAAGCGCGGTGCATAATCGATTATGCACCGCAGTGCACGATATAATTTGCCGGTGTAAAACGGACGGGCTTAGGTCAGCCCGCTACTGGTCCGTTTTCTTTTCTTGGATCAGATTGGCTCAGTCCAATTAAAGATTGGATTGTACTTGTCTCGGCTCAAAAATAAAATTAAAGTCCGGTCCTTTCTATAGTCATAAAAATAAAAAAAAAATATTAAAAATTATAAATCGACTAATTTAAATTATGTATTCCTTCTAAATTTAGTATTACGAGTTCACATATTTATTTTCAACTAATTTAACTTAAGAATTATTACAAAAATATAATAAAGAATTAATAATTAATAATGTAATACCATTATTAAGAATAAATTTACAAATTGTAACTACTAACTACTAAATAATAAAGGTAATTTTTTTTTCAATTTGAAACAAATAAAATCTTACATCTTTAAAATATTTTAAAGTAATAATTACTAATTAGTATGCTAGTTAGGTAGTTAACTAGCTAAATAGTAAATACTAAATGCATAAGAATTTAATAGGCATAAACCAGTATCACAATATTTTTAATAACCCAAAATAGGGTAGTTCAAGTGGCAAATGAGTTCATTTTGTGAGGAAGAATTTTGGGATAACCCGGGTTTGATCCCCACAAGTGACGATTCCCCTTGTGTCAGCTCCTATGTCTTAGTCGAGTGGACAAGACCCGGATCATATATGTATATACCCATAGTCGAGTGGACAAGACCCGGATCATATATGTATATACCCATATATATGGGTAAAAAAAATTAAAGTTCAACCTTGTCCGTAGTATACGGGTTAGCCCTAGTCCGCACATTGTAAAGTTCAAACGGGTTAGCCCTAGTCCGCACATTGTAAAGTTCAACCTTGTTTGTAGTATAAAATGGGTTAGCCCTAGTCCACACATTGTAGCAAATGGGTCGGGCCGAACCAAGCCAAACGAGTCGTGCTTGAACTGGATTTTGGGCAAACCTATTCGTATAATTTTAAAGGGGGTATTTGACCATTCGGTCACCTCAGGTTTGACCGAATGTTTAACCACTCGTAATCTTTAGGCAACTATTCGTGGGTACTGCTCGAACTACCATTCGTGGGTACTACTCGAAGTACAGTTCTGACAGTGTTAATCCTGATCCGTTAGGAATTAATTGTGATTTAATTCCAATTTATTTTTTAGAATTAAACTCCATACTAAAGTTGCACTTTATGGGGGTTACATATCTGATTTATTTTAGATGTTAATGTCGTTGATTAATGCTATTAATTCTTCTTCTCACATATAAGCTATAGTTGAGCATATGATTTTACACACTGAAAACATTAAGCTTTTCTCCTCTCGAAACTTTGCTCAACTTCCTCCTCAAACATCTTGTGTTCATCACGTGTTCTAGTTCGCTGGGTTTAACTGTTTGAGTGCTCAAACGTTAAACCATAGTACATTTTATCCTTGGAAACCTAGGCTACAACGCTCCTAGCACATTTGGGAGGTAGCAAATAAGGTTTTAAGGCGAGTGTTTGGCTCGACTCGTACTAACAGCCTAAACACTTTTCTTTATTGTGCTTGTTATTTTTCTAGAAACAACTTTTTAGTAGAATTATTTCGTAACAGGGTATTCACGACCCTTTTTGCATAGCAGAAAGGGTCGTGGATACCCTTGTTAAAAAATAAAAAATGCGACCCGGGCTTTTCATTTAAAAGGGTCGTGGATTCTTAACTTTCTGCTACCCCATCACAAGGGTCGCGGAATGCACTATACAAGGGTTTGCGAATGAGTTCTTTTGTACTAGTGAAGAGTCTATGAAGAATATGCTATATGCTAAAGAGGTTGGGTGCCTTGGGTATGTTCAAATCTATACAAGGTCTGACATTGCCTTTGTTATCAAGATGTTGCAGCAATATCTGCATAATTTGGGTTTGGACCAATAGGGAATTGTGAAGAGGGTTCTAAGATGTCAAAGACTACAAGCTTTGGTTTAGGCTGACATACGTCTTAGACATTGTTCGAACGTGGACTTTATTGGTTGTGTTTAGGGGTGGGGTAAAAATCGGGTATGACCTGAAAAATTCGTGGGTTTGACCCGGTCAACCTGATTCGGGTCAGCTTTTACCGTTGATGGGTCTAGTAAAAATAAAAAATAAAATAAAAAATAAAATAAAATTAAAAAAAACGGCACAATTATATGATTTCGGTTCGGGTTTCGGGTTTGGGAATTAAATTTTGAATCCGCCTCGAAACTCGAATTACATTAGTATATAAGGGCTTTTATATGTTAGGGTTTCAGACATAACCCTATTTGTGTTGCGCCGCTAACATTTCCCTCTCCTCAAACGCTCTCGCAGTCTCACCTCTGTCTCTCAAACTCTCACCTTGACTGCTAGAAGTGAAACGCCCAGACCAGAGCCACTGGCGACCGACTCTTCGCTTCTCACCGGCCTACTGTAGTAGGCAGTAACCACTCCTTCTCCACTCCGAGACTCCGACTCTCTATGGGTTCGTGAGTCAGGCTCCGGCTATCTGCCTCTTCGAGTCTTCGATAAGACGGTAAGTCCCCTCTAAATCTCTAATATCATCTACTCATCATGGTCATACTAAACTAGTAAACTCATTTGTTTCTTGTTTTGAGGTCACTTCGCAAGGTGTATGGCTCAAGGATTGCTTATCCGGGTTTAGGGTTATGGATTCTATATCTAAGTCATTGAAAGTCTACTGTGACAACTCAAATGCAGTCTTCCTGGCTAAAAATGACAAAAGTGGGAGTCGAAGCAAACATATCAACATATTCTTAGTTATTAGAGAGCATGTTAAAGACAAAATAGTGTTCATTAGTACATTAACACTAAGTTGATGTTAATTGATCCTTTGAATAAAGGCATACCCTCTATTTAAATTTAAGGATCTTGTTGAAAAGATGTGACTTTCATCACTTTGTAATTTTCATATATACATTCAATTTTAATGAAATTCTTTTGCATTCGCACGTTTTTCCCGTTTAAGTGTGTACACTTTGGGTTTGGTGTTTGTACCAAGTTGGAGAATGTAACATTTTCCTTTATTATTATTATTATTATTATTATTATTATTATTATTATTGTTGTTGTTGTTGTTGTTGTTGTTGTTGTTGTTGTTGTATTTAGAATTATTATTATGGGCGTGTTTGGTTCGCACATGGGAATCGGAATCGAAATGAAAATCAAATACTTGTTATGGTAATGGGTTTAATTTTGGTGAAAGTATTTTGCATGTTTGGTAGTAGGGTGGAATTTGAATAGTTATTAATATTGATGTTTGATTATGTATGACCCTATAATGGGAATAAAGGTATTAAAAATACACAAACAAAAAATCAAGACCCTTAATCCTAATATAATGACATCCAAAGCGCTAATATTAACAAAAAAAAAATCAAAACAAAAATCTAAAAACACTGATCCAAACTTAAAAATTAAATTACTAATAAGATAGAATAATGATACACGTTTTAATTGAAGGGGTAATTAAATCTCATAGTTGTATTTCAAAAAATTGTCAACCAAACACTATGATTTTAATTCTCATTCATGGTGTGGAAACCCATGAACCAAAAACACCTTATATTAATAATATTAAGTCATTTATTTTGGTGCAAAAATATATATGTTGAACTTTTTATAATTAATGAGTTTGATCAACAATAGGTAACTTAGGAATATTCAGTTACATATATTGGTAGGATGCAATTATAATACCTGAGTCTCTCATTGGTCAGTTAACGACTCATACACCATCTAGAGTACTGAATGAAAGTGAAAGAAAATATCACAATAAACTACCATGTTCACGTTAATTCTTTGGTAGCTAAGCAGCTCGAGGAGTGTTGCAGTTTGTCGCAAGACTAGTGACTACTCAAATGTCATCAATAAGAAATTATGGCTTGAGGTTAGTAAAGTTAATGCTTACCACGTGTTATGTGTTTGAGTGGATTAAATGCTTACATGGTTCACAGAATGCATTTTGAGAGATATGAATCATATTCAATAGTGAATGGAATTGAATAAACAAATAATAGAATAGAAATTTCATTTCATAATTTGGTTTGTCAAATAAATACACTTTAAGAATTATATTATAGTATTTCGTGTTTGTGAGCAAGTAATAGAAATGTGTCAACTATCATGTAGTGTGATGGCATCCCGATTATCCATCTAAATGGATGGTCATATGTTTGAACTCCGGTGGTGAGGGCTTAGATTCTTTAGACTAAAAATGTTTGAGAGAGTATAAAACAGATACTATCTTATAAAGAATCGTGAGTATTTCCAAAAAAAAAAAAATGCTATAAGCAA